CCCAGTCACATGGCCAGGCCCTAAGTCAAAGTGGGGGCATGTAAAAGGGCATAACTATGGGGAGCATGCTTCACTGGGACCCCCTAACAGCTGTCCACCACCTACAGCTCTGCTGGGAGCCGTGGTCCCCAGGTAACAGGTGAGTGGTGGGCATCACATCGGTTTGAACACAAGCTGCTCACAACTTGCCCTAGGAAATGTTTCATAGGGACCAGCCTACAAAAGCCTATTTAACACGATGTGGCTGGACTGGGCCTTGGGGACAGGAAACCATGGAGTAGGAAGGCAGGGGAGGAGAGCCTCAGCTTGTCTCCACACACAGCATGGTTCTAGGGAGAAACTTCCCTCCAGCTAGGCTGGGCCATCCCTCCCCACTACCTGTTGTCTGTCTCCCCTTCATCTCTCATGGCACAGGGTCCCTCCTGCTGCCCCAAACTAGCGTCATGCCCATGCTCAGGGCCCTCACCACCACCACCCCCTCCAAACCCAGGCCAGAAATCAGGGCCAAAGAAAGTATTAAGTGAGAACCTGACTGAACTGAATCCTCAAGGGTGTGAAGGGTTGATGGGCCCTCAGCCCTCCCTGAAGTGCTTCAGTTTTTATGAGGTGTTTGTTGACTCATTGATGTCTCCTTGGGTGTCGTTCCCAAATGCAATAGAGTAGAACATCCGTCTGGTGAGGCAGAAGACCCTACCCCTGCCCCAGCTTCCCTGAGCAGCCCTGCCTTTCCTGGGGACTCTGAAAGGCCCTGTTTATCTGCATGTACTCAGAGGCCACGACAGAGAGATGGGAGAGATCTGCATGTTGACCACTTGTAGGTCAGTAGGCTCCAGAGAGCCAGGTTCTGTGGGCTGCTGGCCTTGCAGGGGACATGGAGGGCTGGGAGGTGGAAGTACAGAGGTGGGAGGCCACACCCCAGGTTAGAAAGCCAAGCTCAGAAAGCCTTAGTGTACGTATCACACCATGTCCCAGTCAGTACTGAAACAGAGGAGAAGGTGATCAAAAATAAGCACCGGCATATCAACTCTTATTTAAAAAAAAAAGCACAACCCCAAGTTCTTTTCAAAAAGAGGGCTCACCAGCCTGCTCTGCAGTCTTGCCCTAGAATTTACAGGGTTCTCTAGTTAGGAAAAGCACAAAGTCAATGCCATGATGCAGTTAAATTGTCCCAGGAACAAAATCAGTCTCCCTAATAATTGGGGTGTACAGTACTCTGAAGACTACATTTGTTTTAATTAATACTTGGCAATCATAACCTTGTAACCAAATACAACCCATGCCCTTGGCAAATGATTATTTCTATATTCAAAAAACATGTATGAGTTACATAGCCAATACCATCACCTCTTACTGATGTAATTCATGATCCAGTGTGTTCATAGTTACAGTTTTCACTTGCCTTCTTTGATAACTGCAGGTTTTCTGCCTCCTTTCTATTTGTGGTCTGCGCCAAGTAGGAGGAGATCAAACAAATTTGTATGTGAAAACCAGCCTGACTTATTAGACCAGATTATTAAGCTGTGTTCTTCCTTCTTACTGAGTATGATTTTTAAATAATTTGATGATTTTCCTTGTAAAGTAGCAAGTGCTATTGATGATAAATTGCACGCATGCTTCAAGATATGATAGACAGTTCCTGGAACATTTTTACATTATAATTCAGGAGCAGTGCCAGTGCTAAGGTAGTGCTGATGGTGATCGATGAATGGGACTGAAGGGCTGCACGGAGGAGTCAGGGACACACTGCTTCCCAAAGCCAAGGCCTAATGGAGGGGAGGCCAAGCTCTTAATATCCCAGGGCTGACCAGCTGGGGACAGGGAGGGTGGGGGATGGAATGAAAACAGAGACTGAGTGGGCTTGTGAGATCATGAACGTGGTCATGGGGTGGCTCCATCTCATTCCCAAAAATTATTCCTCATTGGAGGAGCAGTGACTGGACCATGGGTGGCGATGCCTTGGGGACCCAGGGGTTCCACAAGTGACCACAGGAAACACAGCAGCACAGGGACGGGTACAGGATAAGTGGCCTCTGAAGGAGAACTGAATCTAAGCATGGAGGCTGCTGAATGTCCCAGCTGAACTTGTTCTCCCCTGAGGTGCCAGGCTCAGGCCAGGCAGGGTAGTTGAAGGAGACTCTTGTATCACAACTCAATGAGAGCCTATAGAGCCTTTTGGCGTGATAACAAGCAGAGAGGGGCCATGGCTGCAAAGTTTATGCGTGCTGGCCTGGGAGAGGCTGTTTATCAGGTTCCCCTTCAGGACCTCTGTGGATTGAAATTCTTCTCATTCAGAGAAAAATCCATCTGATAGAACAGAATAACAACCCCTGGGTTGATAGTTTAGGAGAACAGAGGTTAAGAGAGACAAGGGCTTTGTGGACATGGTGTGGTAAGAGACAGGGTCCATGAAGTCCAGGAAAGGGTAACCCCCAGCCCTAGGCCCAAGTCAAGGACAAACCCACTCCCAGCACTAAGGAGGAGTTGGGGTGCCCCCTAGATGGCAAGTCCACATATGGACCCACCAACAGTCAGGTTTTTCTGTGGGAGGCTACACATCCCACCCTCCAATGTCAAGGACATCATGGTGATGGCAAAAAGGCCCCATGCTGAAAAGCAAGCCCAGTTGGCCTTGACAAGGTCATGTGCTCCATCCCAGCCCAGGATGCACAAATATACCAACTGGCTTAGCCAAGGTCACAGGCACCACTCCTGGAGCTGGGGGAGGGTCCCCCAAGTACATGGGCTGTGAATGGGGTAGGGAGTCATCTAAGAGGGATTTGGAGTTCCATTTAGGGGGTCATCAGAGGGGATGCTGTAGGATGCCAGTAACTGAAAACTCTACTGAGTCTGGTTTAAACAGTTAGACTGTGAGTTGCCCCCATAACTGGAAGACTATGGGTAGGGGAGTTTGGGGGTTAATCCAGTATCATTAGTTCATCTCACCGGCTCTCAGCGCTGTCCTCTGCACTGTGGTTGCTTCACTCGGGGCAGAGAAGGTAGCAGTTCCAGAGCCCACGGCCACAACGTGCAGACAGAGGGCATCTTTCCTTTCTCCGCCTCTCAAGAGTAAGCAAACTTTTCCCAGAAGTTCCCAGCTGTCATCCTCCACTGACCCGATCATGAGAGAGAAGGGCAAGGAGGAAGGGGTGGCCTGGGATTGTCTGGAATTGCTAGGGTGCATTGAAAGACTCAGAGCTGGGTCCATCTCTCATTCTCAATAATTACTCCTCAATGGAGGATCAGCGACTGGACCATGGATGGCAATGCCTTGGGGACCCAGGGGTTCCACAAGTGACCACAGGAAACACAACAGCACAGGGACTGGGGTCCAGCAGACCTGACTCTGAACTTGGAGGCTGCTGAAGGTCCAGGACAGCTCTGACTCGAGCTCTCACTGGAAGACTCGCTGCCCACAGCCTGGCCTCGTTCCTGCTCAGGAGATGTGCCACAGGGAGCAGAGCAAAGGGTCAGCCCCTCAGGCCAGGGGCCAGACTGGCTCTGAGCCCTACTCTCAATCAGAGCTGACAGGCTGCCCCTAATACTTACTCTTTATACCTGATCGAACATGGCCTTTGCCTGCCCCTACCCAGGACACGTCCCCTCCCTGGGCCCTTCGACCTCCCAGCCAGAAGCGGAGCTCTTTCCCACTAAGCGTTTCCTGAGCCCCTGATGGTCCCTTGGAGCCTGTGGCCGGCCCCGCTTACTTCAGCCTGAGGGCTTGTCCCCACAGACTGGTCCCACATGAACTCAGCCCGAGGGTGTAGTGACCCATGTGTGCTCCTGGCCTGTCACTCACGAAGCCCACTCACACCACACGTCAGTCGAGTCCCACAACAACCCCTTGAAACGGATAGGAATTCTCCGAGTCCTCATTTACAATGGAGGAAAACGAGTCCTAGGCAAGAGGACTTGCCCCGGCGTCACCCTGATCCCCAGTTATTCTCCAGCCCAACCTGAGCTGCTGCCCCTGGGATGAAGTTCACTTCCCCAACCCACGCTAACTCCAGGATGTACCAATGTAGACTCCCACTGCAAAATACAGCCCTTCATAGCAAACATAAAAGCCAATTAAAGAGAATCAGGACTGCCTGTGATAATGGAGGCCCTCCCAGGAGGGCAGAGGAGAGTCTCTTATCTCACCAGCAGGAAGATACACTCTTCCCTAAGAATCTCGGGCAGAGGAGAGTCTCTCTTATCTCACCAGCAGGAAAACCAAGAAGTCAAATGTCAGTTCCTTGAAATGATGAATAAAACTGATCAACCTTAGCAAAACTGATGAGAGAAACAGAGATAATGAGAACAGTTATCAAAAAAGTGAAATTACTACAGATCATACAAATTTAACAGGACAGTAAGGGGATTTTATGAACAACTTTATAACAATAAATTGGACAACTCAGGACACATGGACAAATTCCTGGGAAAATACAACTTTACAAAGCTGTGGCAAAAAGAATTAGAAAATATGAATAGTTGTATTTCCGTTAAGAGAATCGATTTAAAAAAAAAAAAAAAACCTTCCGATAAAGGAAACCACACCCAGCTAGGTATATTTGTGAAATCAGCCAAATACTTACGGAGATGATGATAACCAGTCTCTTAAAGTGGCAGCGCCCTTGTGAGCCGGGCAGACGCACCCTGGGGAGAGCGCAGGCCGAGCAGCCCACTGTCCCTTGGCGTCACTGGATCTCCGCAGGGAGACAGACCTGCCCGTTTTCCTTGCACTTGTTTATAGAGCTGGTGCTGGGACAGAGTGGTGCCAGCAAGGCGCCTGCCACGTCACAGGATCACTACCCAACCAGGTGATGATGGACTAGACAGCTCTTCCTCCGCCATCCTCCGTCACACTGTGACTCTGGAAGTCAGAAAGAAATGACTGTGGGATGGGAACACAAGTCCTTCTCTGGTGGAAATTATAAAGACCCAGAAGGTGGCCAGTGGGGACGGGGGCTGTTCTGCCAGCGGCCAGGAGTCACAGTGTAGAAGGGGCCTGTATGGCACTCGAGGTCACCGCACCTGTACAGCAACAGAGGGCAGGCCCCTCCCTCACTGGGGGGCGGGGGATCCGGTTCTCCTGGGAGGGGAAGAGGGCTGGGATCATGGCCATGAGGGGCTTAAAGGCATCTACGGGGAGAGGGTGAGGGAGAAATGGAGAGACCAAGGGAGGAGGGAAGTGGGGTGGCCATAGGGGTCCCTTTAGGGGTTCACCAAGGACAGTGTGTCCCCTCATCCCTGTCTTACAGGACAAAGGAAGCAGAGAGTTGACACCTTAAGTTCCAGCTCCCTCAAATTCTACATTTCTTTGGGGGTTCTGATGTGATCTTGCTAAAAAGAAATGTTTAAATCACCTCTGGAATGCACAGTGTGTGAGGGTCTGCTGACCCTACAAAAGAGGTCTTGCTCACCTCCTATCACCAAGGGGTCCCTCCTCACCCCCGGAGACTCCTCGTTGAGGGCACTGCCCCATCCCCCACCGTCCTCCCCTTAATAGGTACTTCCATTTCTAAGCCAAGGGCATTTTCTCTTTCTACACATGCATATGGCCCTGGCCCTAAGTGGTGGGAGATAACCTGGGAAATGCCAAGTGCGTTTTGGTCCTCCAGCTTTACCCTCCCGTTTTCAAATCTGCCCTGTGTCATGCTGTAATCCACGCGGGTGTTAGTTCACTGTTGCCAGCACCAGCTGACCCAGACTGCAGACTCCCAGGACACTGGGCTGGAGAGAAGCTTTGGGTCACCCAGCCTCATGCTCTCATGGTTCAGTAAGGGAAGCTGAGCACAGAGGGGACTGAGTTCCTCAATGGGGCAGGGGAGTGCTGCAGCATGAGGGTGGATGCTATTCCTGCTGACCAGGGTCAGGAGCCCCCTATTCTGGCTGGGCCAGTGGCCCCCCGTGACCCCAGCTTTGGCTGTGGTTCTGGCACCATCAGCCAGACCACATGCAAGTTGTTCCAACACTGGCCATGGGGCTCTGAGCTAATTACAGTCTCTCACCCAATCTGCATCATGACCAACTCAGGCCACAGAAGAAAACTGACTCCTAAGGAGACTGAGACTTGTCCCCAGTCCACTGACCACCAGGAGCAGCCAGGCTACTGGTGCAGTTACTAAAAAAGTCAAGCCCCTCCAGGTGACTTGATAGGAGATCACTAACAAAAGACCACCTGTAAAAATGGTTTAATTTTCCACCTCCAGGGCATACCACGAAGGAGGGAAACACAGCTGGCCTGGAAGAGAAAGGCTTTAACTGGAGACCCAGTGGTCACGCACAGAAGCTCAAAACCTTCCTCAGCTACTGCACCTCTCCAACTTTAGGAGACATCAAATGAGACACCAATGCCCCCAAGGCCACAGAGCTGGCAGGTGAGGGCAGTTCTAGCCGCTCAGGATTCAACACAGGTTTCCCCTCTCCAAACCATCCTGAGCCCGCCTGGAACTCCCAGGTGCAGGAAGGACCAGATGACCCAGCGTTTCTGCCTTTGCCCATGACTAGTCTCTATGGCACCCACACTGGCCCTTCCCATCTGTATCCTGCAGCCAGAGTTGTCTTTTCAGCACAGGTCCTAGTACGATTAACCAGTAGGCAAGGTACACACAGGCTTACAGTAAGCAAGGTATACACATGCTTAACTGTGTTTACTTAATCTGTGGTGAATAATTTCACAAAAAAACAAGTGAAATTGTGCACCCAGATTAGTAAGTAAGCACAAGTAAGCCTCTGCGTACCTTTGTGGCTGTTGCTGTTGCTGTTAGGTGCTGTCGAGCAGGTTCCGACTCATAGCGACCCCATGTACAACAGAACGAAACACTGCCCGGTCCTGCACCATCCTCACAATTATCGTTATGCCTGAGCCCACTGTTACAGCCACTGTGTCAATCTATCTCATTGAGGGTCTTCCTCTTTTCCAATGACCTTCCACTTTACCAAGCATGACGTCCTTCTCCAAGGACTGATCCCTCCTGATACCATGTCCAAAGTATGTGAGTCAAAGTCTTGTCATCCTCACTTCTAAGGAGCATTCTGGCTGTACTTCTTCCAAGACAGATTTGTTCATTCTTTGGCAGTCCGTGGTATGTTCAATATTCTTCACCAACACCACAGTTCAAAGACATCAATTCTTCGCTCTTCCTTATTCACTGTCCAGCTTTCCCATGCATATAAGGCGCACCTTAGTCCTCAAAGTGACATCTTTGCTTTTTAACACTTTAAAGAGGTCTTTTACAGCAGATTTGCCCAATGCAATGCGTTGTTTGATTTCTTGACTGCTGCTTCCATGGGTGTTGATTGTGGATCCAAGTAAAATGAAATCCTTGACAACTTCAGTCTTTTCTCCATTTATCATGATATTGCTTATTGGTCCAGTTGTGAGGACTTTTGTTTTCTTTATGTTGAGGTGTAAGCCATACTGAAGGCTGTAGTCTTTGATCTTCATCAGTAAGTGCGTCAAGTCCTCTTCACTTTCAGCAAGCAAGGTTGTGTCGTCTGCATAACCAGTAAGCATACCTTACTTACTGGTTAATCTGCCCGTGTGAACACCAAATGGCTAAAGAAAGATCCAGAATAGAGACTGCAGGGAGTGCCCACCAGGTGTGCACCCCAACCTGAGAGCAACCAACAAATCAGAAAGTAACAAAACCCATGAGAAAAACAGGGTTGTCTCTCAGTGATCCAAGTGGAATGGATTGTAGCAAAAGAGCTAGTGTTGTAGTGAATTCAAACAGGGCCAGATTGCCTTAGAACAATGAAAAACAGAATGTCTATAAACAAACCCCAGTTCTGATGATAGAGGGGAGAGAGAGAATGATGATGGATAGATAGATAATGATGAAGATGGATAGATACAGATATACACATATGGATAACTTGGGCTTTTGATAACAGTGGGATTTCAAGTCAACAGGAAAATATACATTATTCATAACAGGAGGTGAGACAATTGGCTATGAGTTGAAATAATAACTTTATACCAAAAAAATGTACCTGCATGTACTCACAAAGATTTAATATTTAAAATAAGTGTTAGAGGAAAGTACTGAATTTTTATATAACCTTGAAGTAAGGATGCCTTCTAAGCTTTATAGTAAAGGTAAAAATCATAATGGAAAAAGATTAATAGGTTACACTACATTAAAAATTTTAAAACTTCAGTGCCCCCTCCCCCTTTCATACACACAGACTAAAGAGGCTGAGCAGAGAGACCCGTGGAGGGAAGGGGCATTCACGGCAGCAGCCAGCATACATCAAAGACTCCCCTGTACCAGCACTGGCCCCCACCCCAACCAAACTTCCTGAAGTCAGGCCGTCCCCAAGTTACAGAGGAAGAAACTGAAGCTTGGAGAGATGAACTGCTGCCCCAGGTTTCGGGGATGGAGCTGGGACACAAACCCAGGCCTCTGTGATTCTGACTGCTTCTCTGGACCATCACATCTGTGGATGGCCAAGCAGGGTGCTGGATGCACTAGGCCAGGTGCAGAGAGGGACAGGGATGCGCTGTGCCAGGTCAAGGTCTCGGTGCTTACAAGGCTCTGTCCTGGCAGGATGTGGCCTGGCCATGGATGGGAGCTTGCAGGGACTATTTGGACACAACCCTTTGGCTGGGCCAGACCAGCAGGACCCCAAGGACCATGTAGGCACGGTGCTCCCACTCAGCCTGGCCCCAGCCTCACCTCATAAGCTGCAGGATGATGTCATCCTGAGCCTGGAGCTACTCATGCAGGGCCTGGTTGCATCAGAGATGAACAAGTAACGCGCTGCTGGCTTCTACTTGGACCTCCACATCTCGGGTGCAGAGGAGAGCATTCTCTAAGGTTCTCGTCTTCCGCTGACTTCAGCACTCCATCTGCAACTGATGCCAGTATTACAGTAAGGCAGCATGGCCATGTGCCCCAAATTCCACACAAGAAGATCTCCGCTAGAATCACTGAAGGGGGCTAAGCTCCAGAAGGTACAGAGGTCAGGGGTCCAGCTTCCATGCCTCCCAGACAGCCTGCAGTGACCCTGGCCAGGTAGGCCGAGGCTGCTGTATGCTGGGTTATCCCCCAAACATCATGGGGCTGTAGGCAGGTGATCGTGGAGGGCTGGACATGAACCTTCCAGAGCCTCAGACAGTCTGAAGGCCTGGGTGGTGGACCTAAGCATTCACACCTTCAACAAACCAGACACAGAACGGACATGCCTAGATGGGAACATCCTGACCTGGCCCCTTCCCACTCCCCTCAGAATGGATGGCAAGTGACAAAGGGAGGGCAGGCTTAGGAGAGTGGCCTGAGACCCTTGGTCGGGGGGGAGGGAGAACCTGCAGGAGCTGGTGGGTAGACTGTAGAGAAGCCAGAAGATCTTCGACAAAGAAGGAGGAAGGAGAGGGACCAAGGGAAGCACCCTGGACAGAATGTCTGCCATTCTGGGAGGGGGCGCAGTGGAGCATGGGGGGACACAGCACTGTAGGAGGCCACTGAAAGGCCAAGGAAGGAGACTGATCATCCCTCTGGACTTAGGTTAAGTAGAAGATGATTTTCTTTGGGGGCAGGACCATGAGGGAATTTCTTCCTTTTCTGATATTGCTGTTTTCCCCAAGTGGCCTATAAAGAGAATTTCTTTGTGTAATAGGGAAAAATATGTATCTAGAAATCAAAACATGCAAAAATAGTAACGTTCCACCGATTTGCCAAAGTTCTTCCTTCCTGACATCAGATTCCCCCTCGATGACATCAACCTCACACTTCAGCCCAGCTTCTGGCTCCAGCTATCTTTCTGTAATTTGGGCAAAAGAGGATTCACATGATGGGAAACTTGAGTGAATCGAAGGACACCCCTGCTGCTCTTCTTTAAGATCCATCACTCTTCTGTTGCTCCATTCAGGGGAATTCTAGTGAAGAAAATGAAATCTGAAAGATGTCCGATAACCCTGTCCATTTTTATGGTTGTGGTTGTATATTCTGTGAGACCTACCTCCCTCTGCTTGTACATAAAGTGACACTCTTGTTACTCAGCAGGAGATCTGGGGAAGCTGTTTTGAGAAGAAAAAGGTAGTAGGCTATCAAAAATGTTCTGTAGAAGACACAACTTCCAAAACTTAAAGGAGCTCTTCCAATTTTCCTGTTTCTTCTACTAAGAGATGTGCTTGCCTACTTAGAATAATGCCTTTCAAATGCAAATTTATTAATTTGATCATGTGTCTACTTTTTGCTATCAACCAAGAGGCCGTTTAGAACAAGCAAAGCCATCACGCCTGCACCACTCCACGGGTTGCCATGTTTGCTTACTCCGTGGGCCGCCATGTTCACATGCTCCATGAGCCTCCAGGTCCCACCACACCACAGGCTGCCATGTTTACACCACTTTGCAGGCTACTATGTTAGCATCCCTCCAAGGCCCACCGGGTTCCCACTACCTCCTGCATTTATAAATAAAAATGAGCATTTTTATTAGTTTGTTTATCCCTTTCGTGTTTCTTTTGGAGAAACAGACAAATACGGAGTGTGCATATTCAAATTTTTTCTTTTTACATAAAAAGAACCATACTTACATATTCTTTTGCATCTTGGTATTTTCACTTAACAATATATCCTGGAAATCATGCTGTATCAGTTCATAGAAACTTTCCTGTTTCTTTGCAGATGCATAGTATTCCATCGTGCAGTTGTATCAGAGTTAATTCAACCAGTTTCCTATTGTTGGGCATTATATTGTTCCCAAATTTGCCTATTACAAAACAATGCCCAATAAGTAACTTTATGCATATGCTACTTTACATTTGTGAAGATGTATCTTCAGGCTAATGTATTTTCAGAAGACGGATTGCTGAGTCAGAGGGTAAATATATGTGTATTTTTGTTAGATATTGCAAGATTCCCCTCCATAAAGGTTGTACCATCTTGTACTTCCATCCGTAATGAATGAAAGTGGCTGTTGGAATCAATTTTTAATAATCATCCCAGGAAATTCTGATGTCTAGAATGACACTTGTAGAAATATGGCAATCATAGCAGGGACAAATATTTTCAGAATTTAACTCAAACATCAATTCCTACCTTAATGTGAAAACCTCCTGAATTTCAGTTTTAAGACTGCCAATGTGGGAAATATCTGGGTACTGAGAAGCAATTTTAGACAGAAAATAAAAGTTGATATTCCAATTCTAAAAGGGTCAGCAGTGAAAATATGAGTTAACACAATACAAATTCCTTCTCCTCAGCCCAACATGGTTCCCTTATACATGGCTCCATGGAGATAAGCAACATCTAGTCCAACTCTTCACACTGTGCTGTAAGAAAAACATGTACTAGCTGGATGTGTGTGCTGTGTGCGTGTGTGTGTGCGTGTGTGTGTGTGTGTTAGGGGCTTTTTGTCCTGGAAAGAATGTCCTTAGTTTTCATCAGATTCCCAAAGGGTGGTGGAGGTCCTTGACACAGACAAAGTTAGGAACAACTGCTCCGACCAGTGATCCTATACTAAGTCTTGGTCAACTGGAGCTCCACCACTGTCCGCTACATTAACCAAATAACCCCAATTCTTTTTATTTTCATTTATCAATGAGCAGGCTCATCTCTGTACCAATTCACATTGGTTTCAACTGACTCTTGAATTTATCTCTTATTGTTCATTTAGTGACCTGAGATGTAGCTCACCTCTGCTCCCACTCTACTACTTCAGCAATAGCCTAGTCTTCTATTTTAGTGAGATACCTGAGATGCTCCAGGAGCAACAATTCTTTCATCTACCGTTCTTTCTTCCTGACTGCCTCTGTCCCCACACCATCTTCTCAGGTATACCTTCAGATTCATATTAATGGGTTCTCTTCTCACTTCTAAAGAAAACACTCTGTATGTAATATGCCATCTGCCTACAACTTAAACCAGAAGAGATCAATGTGGTCACAGTGCAAAAGACAAGAGGAAGGATGGGGCTGGAGAGAGACAGGGACCAAACCACACGGACCTGGAGACCCATGAGGAGTATTTGTGACTTTAGCCTAAGAACACGCAAAGAGACTGGGTGACATATATTACATGTATGTTTTGAAAAATTACTCTGGCTACGGAGACTCTGCTGGGGACAGGGCAGATGAGGCTCTTTCTGTAGTTCAGAAGAGAGATGGTGGCCCCCGGGACCTAGTACAGCAACAGAGAGAAGTGGACAGATCAGAGAGATGTCTGGGAGGTGAAGTTGTTTAGTGTGGAGGTGAGCTGGATATTGGGTGATTAGATGATAGCATTAAAGATGACTTTCCGTTTCTTGGTTCCTGCATCAGGATGGAGGACAGTGGTCTCCACTGAAAGGAGGAGCAGTGAGAGGATACAACTGACTGGGAAAAATCATGAATTCAGTTTCTACATGTCGACTTTGCTGGGCCTACCCTCAAGCGGAATATCAGGTAGGTCTATCTTAGGCTGGGTTCTCTAGAGAAGCAAAACAAGTAAAGCATATAAATATATATGTATATATAGAGAGATTTATATCAAGGAAATGGCTCACACGGTTGTAGAGGCTGTAATGTCCCAAGTCCATGGGTCAGGATACAGGTGTCTCCTGATTCACACAGCTGCAGGGGCTGGCAAACCCAAGATCAGCAGGTCAGATAGCAGGGCTCTTGCTCACAGGCTGCAAAGATCGATGAATCCCAAGATCAGCAGGCAAGGCCAAAGGTAAGTTACTAGCTCAAGTCCCAAGAACTGAAGGTCAGAGGAACAACAGCCAGCTGCAGGATCCAACACCAGCAAAAAGCACTCCCAGCCTTGCCAGAATGTCCACTTATATTCAATGCAGCCCTTTCAACAGACTGGCTACTCACAGTAGATCTCATCATGTGGGTGATCACATATCAAATTTCAACAGGGAAGTGATCACAACATTATGTGATTGCCCAAACACTGAGAATCATGGCCCAAACAAGTTGACACACAATCTTAACCATCACAAGGTCCTCAGATATTATGTCTAGAACAGAGAGAAGATCTGGGCTTGAGTTATAAATCTAGGCATAACGGGAGGTAGACGGCAGTTGAGGCTGTGGACTTGGATGAAGTAGCTTGAGAAAGAGAAGAGGGCCTAATAACCAGTCTTAAGATGTAGTATAAAGGGGACCAAGAAGGGGCAGCTATAGAAGAGGGGAGCACAGAGATTGTGGTATCCAGAGGGGAGGTCATGCTGGACAACAGTGTCAGAAGTTACTGATGGGTCCAGAGAGATGAAGACCAAATATATCCATGAGAAAGTCAAGATACTGTGAGGAGGAAGGTGCATGTAATTGAGGAGGGGTCCACAGGGGCAGCCAATGTCCTTATCATGTTTTTTCTCAGCCTGGACAATGGGCACCCAGGAGTGTGTTTATTATCAGTCTACTGTTAAAGTACACATGTCTTGTTCAGTCTTCCATCTGAGTAGCATACTCCAGTATTTTAAAATACAGATAATGTAAGGAAATAAAATCCCCACTGGTCCTGCAGCATGGGGTCACTGGTGATGGAGGAAGAGCTGTTTCAGCATCATGATGGTGCGGGTTGGAGCACCTGAGTAACTGGGAGCCAAGGCAGGGGAGATGGCAAGACCAGGCAACTGTCTCACATCTAAAAAAATAAATGCAAACTTAAGATGGGAAAGGACAGAAGAGAGGGATTGAGAAAGGCACTAGAAATGCAACGGAGGTGAGGGCTTCTGGAGACACGGCCGGCAAAAACAGGTGCTACGGAAGTATTGTAAAAGCTGCTTTGAGAACCCCCTGCTGCCCAAGCCCTCAGGAATGCCCACTGCATGCACAAATGCCTTGTGAGTCGAGTTTCAGGAAATCGAGGAA